TGTTTGATATTATACGCTCCATTATTCGCACGGCATTCCGAAAATTGATGTGCTGGAATATATATATCTGCTCCTCTAGATCGGTCTTCTTCACGTACGTCTCTGGCTTTGGTAGTTTAGTTTTCAAAGCCTATAAAAAGAAAATTGAACTTAATTATTGAACATGTCTACAAATGTCACGAGTAACAATGAGATTTTTATGAAAAGTGTTAAAAATTGTTCGAACCATTGCGTCTAACATTTCTTGTATAGATTCTTTTCTATGCACTACGAGCAAACCATTTCTTTCAAGCATTAATTCAGGAGCCTGATAAGTGTCGTACATCTCCCAATTATTCACGAACATGCCCCGATTTCGACGTGACTTTTTCTCAAAGTATGTTCCTCGCGATCTCATCAGCAGTTGTATGGTTTGGGTTTCGGCATCTACTAATTTCCTAGTCGAGCCAGGTCCAATTGTTTTGTATTCGTAATTCTCGTTCTCTTGTTTAACCGCTATACCCTCCGGCGTGAGTAAATCTGCGGTGCGAGGTTGCATCTCAAAGATAAAGAACGTCTCTGTTTCTCTTAAAGTGAGCGTCACGGTGTCAAGTCGAGTTGGAAAAATATTTGGATCTTCCCTGAATAAGCAAATCAAATTTAGAAGCTGTCATTTCTCTTTACTAATTCGAAACAATTATTATAACAAAATGCATTAACTCTTTGTGAACTCAATGTGTACGATTTATTTTTACGTCATATATGTGTATTCTTGCTAACGTTTTTAAATTGTAGACATATTTTCAAAGAGTTAATATGTACAGTAATACTAATCACAGTCTTAAAATTTTTAAAATACCTAATATTTTAAATTAGATATTTCAAATATCTAATTATCTAATTATAATTATAAAATATCTAATTATCAAATATCTAATTATCTAATTATAATTATAATAATTATAATATAATATATTATATCTAATTATAATTATCTATATATAATTATAACAATATGTAATTACTCGCCCTCAAAATTACCTAGGTAGATAAAATTGAGGAGGAGCTGTATCTTCGTCTTCAAACACAAACTCATCTGTCTGAGTGGATAATAAGCTTTCAAACAATATATCATCGGTCACTATTGAACCGGAAGGAACCGATGAGGTTCTCACGACCATAGAAGAACTTCTTTTTACAAAACTCAAACCGGAGATGAGGGACAGTGTACCAACACTGCTGATCTGTGATAAGCCCATTGTTTCGAATGCAGTTATTTGTTTCTCATCGATTGAACTGTAAGTTGGATGGGTCAGTAATTTCGGGGTGACGTCAACGTCATCCTCTATCACACGGAGCGCCTGGCGTTGTTGCAAAACAGCTGAGGTTACGTTTTTCCCTACGAACTTGCGTGTTCTGCCTGAGCTGAGCTTAAACCTCGACGAAACTGGACTTTCGAATCTGCTACTTTGAATCTTCTGTGGAGATTCTGTTCCGTCCGCTTTCATTCTAATAAATAATTTTTTTTCTCGTATCGCTTTTTCTTATACATTTACATGTACATTTACATTTCATTTTATTGATACCTATAATCAATTATCCACAAGCAAGTTAAATATTTACATAATGTTTATCGAGAAATATTTGCAGATTATATCATTACACTGAGAACCAGTTTCATTAATTGCACTTTTTTCATCTTCAATGTCTTTACTTGATATTAAACCACTTCATTACGTTGCAAGGGAAAACGTATGTACAGTTGTCTTTAATTCCATGGTGATGTAAAAATCAATTTTAAGCACCGTTTTGTCGATATTTCGAAATATTCATAAAAATTATATATTCAGTTGTATAACGCAATTGTATGAATACATGTACGTATAAATATACGTAAATGTGAGTAATTCGTCTGTTAACCTGTGATTTTGAAAATTATTAGTCCGACTAAAAATGACTGATTGAATATATCTATTCGTCAGTTTACTAACATTTCGATTTCAATCAGCAATCAGGCAATTAATATAAAATGAACAAGCTTGAATTATAAATATTTACATTGCTTCTTTGTCAGATTTATTCAAGTTTTTACTTGAATTGCATTGATCGCGTACTCTGTTAGTGCAGCAAAGAACCTGAAAGGATCTTGTCACATGCGCAGTCGATAAAAAGTAACCTTGCAATTGAGCTACGGCGTTAATCAAGTGTTGGATTTAAAACCAACCAAACCTATTAAAATTACGACAAAATTACTGCAACGATAGTCGGAGTTACGGTTGAAAAAAATAAAATGCGAATCGTTCATACGAGCAATTATCAGCACCAGCATTACCACAAATAAACGCGTGTCTATCGCTGACAAATCTCTTACGTGTTATTTCGAACATCCGTTTCGCGAAAAATCATGAAAATCATCTGATGGCACTTGCGCAATTGCGACTGCAGTGTACGTGATACATCAGATCATTTTGGAAGCAGAGTTAAGTTTGCGGAAGAATATATCGCTGACGGGAGTTCTGCGGTCAATAGGCTAAAGTAAGTGGCATGAATTGTGTCAGCAATGGCAGATACAAACTCCATTAATATTTTAACTAGATCTTATCCTTGATTACCAAATACCACTTAATAAACTTTAATTGCTGTTCAATATTTAGCTAATGTTTTTGTCGAATGTTATCACGTATGTGACAGCTCGCAACAACAGAAAAAAACTCTACAAGATACAATTAATCTTATTTGTATCTTATTAACTTTTACGTTTCTCTCTTGGACATATGACTTCCGATTTTGTTCATGGATACATAATATGTCACATAATGGCAGTGGATTCAGAAAAACACATGTTAAAACAACTATGAATGGAAATTCTATAATTGCATAAACTACGTAAAATTCTGTACTTTACTTAACGTACGAACTTAAATTTATGTCTAGTGTCTAGCGTTATTAGAATGTGTCCGTTTTTACAAGGATTGTCAGCCTGAAATTGTTTTTCTTTCCATACGATAGTGCCATCAGTGATAAAAGAATATACATTGTCTAAATTCCGTTTTTCTTTACGTTATTATACGTCAATACGAATCAATACGACACAATTCTTATTGTTACTTGTTAAATCACACGTAGAAATTTTTTTATATTAAACAATCTTGCGAATTTTTGTACGCTGTAAACTTTTGTTGATATCAATTATATTTTCGTCAAGAGTTTTCCAATATGAGTACCACAAGGGAACAAGCAGGACCATCCAAACCATGGGATTCAACTGCAGATGAAAAAGAAAAGGATAATCGAACATTTGAATGTAATATTTGTCTTGATACTGCAAAGAATGCAGTTATCAGTATGTGTGGTCATTTGTTTTGGTAAGATTATTTGGTTAATGAATTACATATTTATAATATTTTTTATGTTTAATATTATGACATAATGTTATTATGATATTAATCTTTGTAATGAATGATAAATGCTATAATATTCATTTTGTTTGCATATTTAGTTGGCCTTGTTTGCATCAATGGTTAGAAACACGTCCAATGAGACAAATGTGCCCTGTCTGTAAAGCTGCGATTAGCAAAGATAAAGTTATTCCATTGTATGGACGTGGAGATACAAGGCATGAAGATCCAAGGTGGCTTGCATTTTTATTTTTATAATTTTCTATATATAACTGGTTTACAACATATATTAAAAAATTATACTTTGTATTGTTTTAGAAATAATGTTCCACCACGTCCAGCTGGTCAGAGGACAGAACCTGAAAATAACATTGGATTTTCTAGTTTTGGGTTTGGAGATGGTTCTTACATGTCATTTGGTATTGGAACATTTCCATTTGCATTTTTCACATCTACTTTTAATTTTGGAGAAACACGACCAAGTGCAGGTAAAATATTTTTCATAGACTGACTTTGTGTATTGTCTAATATTGAATTTAAATATGCATTTTTATATAGCTGTTAGAGGAACACCACAATATGAAGAAGAACAATTCCTTTCGAAAGTATTTCTATGGGTGGCTTTGATATTTGTTTGTTGGCTCTTGATGGCATAACATTTTGTTAAATCATATTACTTGGTCTATATCTTTTAATCCTATACCTCTTGCTGAATTGATTCATTACATTTTTATTAATACATCGATCTTTCCCCGTTTGTGTAATCGTTGTTACTCGCTACAGTAACTATACCTGCTTGAATAAACAAACGAATTTTATTATAGCTATAACATTTTTATTTGTACGTATACACGTATGTACACATGTATTTTATTTGTACATAAACACGTATATTCAAGCAGATAATTTTCTTGGTTTTAGGTTTTATAAAACTTATTCTTATGATATTTATGTATATATTACTTTTAGACACATAAGATATCTACTCTACGCAAAACATACATGATTGGTTTAAAAGAGAACCTAGTAATTACTGGTTTATTATCATCGTCGACCTATGCGGTTTTTATTAACTATTAATATAAGTAGTGTATATAATCTATAGTTAATAAAAGATTGATAACAGATGCAAATTAAACAAAATAAGTCGTAATTAAACATAATCTATAGTTAATAAAAGATTGATAACAGATGCAAATTAAACAAATATATCGCATAATATATAATATTGTAATATATCATTATTATCAATGAAAGTACATATAAGATCATAAATTTAGCTTATTTATTTTTCTGCTTTTATTTGTATTATGGTTATGAAAATAGAAGAGAAAAAAATAATTACAAAATGGGAAAATGATGATCATATAATCAAGGAAAGTAAGGTTCGTTTTGTATTGTTATTTGACGTTGGAATTATTATATTGAATAAAAATTGACATTCCACATGCAGTAATATTGATACTATAGATTGATTTAAAAATGAAAAACTTATAATTTAATGCATACATAAAATAAACTAGCGGCGTTATTCATTAAACATGATTCATAATTTGTTTAAAAATCAAATAATGTAATGATGTAAATTGTCTTACACGTTTATTTAATATATTACTGTTAGAATAAATTAGAAGCAAACAAATATAACTAATGTCCTTTTAATAAAATCTCTTATCCTTCTGTAGTTACAGGTTTTATTAGAAGATAATAAGTATACATATTTAGTAACATAAACAATTCAATTGCAAGTGCATTGTAATATTTTAAACATAGATAAATACATGTTAAATAAAATCTTAAATTATTCTATTTAAGTTACTTATACTTGTATATTAATTAACTTCATTATAATCTTGTGCAAATTTTCTATGACTTCAAATTTTTGTTTGTTCTTTGTATACATAACTGTGCTTAATACAATAAAAAAAGAAATAATATTGTGTAAGACATGAATAAAATAAATATGCGCAGGATACCCTACTACAGAAGTTTCAGTCGTATCAAGAGCTATTGTGAATAAAATTATTTTATTTTTATTCGTAATAAAATAAATAATTAATATGGAATCTTGGTTAAATTTCAGTTTTTTTTAATATACAGAAATACATTAATCATATTCATCATTATTTATTAAAATTTTATTAATTTTGTTTATAAAATATTAAAATTTAACCAAGCTCGACAACTAAAACTTTTGAGTAAAGAAGCCCAAGCATTCCATAATGATCAATTTTGTCACATTATGGATCTAGTAGTTGTATCACAGATTGCAGCTCCAAAGGGAGATAATATAATACTCCCTCATCTATGTGAAAATGAGGTACTCAAAGACAGCAACATGTGCATTAAAAGGTCCCTACTACATTGGCTACTTTGTTGCTCTAATTATATTGCCACTATACTATTTAATAGAGTGCAATATATATACATGTATATATATAATGCTCCCTTTTTAATATTTTACATATACCAACTTTGGGCCTGGATTATATCTACTACCTTTACTGTAATTAGTATTTATTAAAGGGTTTTTTTAATTTGATTTAGAATACCTATTTCTATTTACAAATAAACATAAAAACGTACTACATCAACAAAGAGACATGATTACATTGATAAAAGAAATACGATTATCAGAATAACTTATTTTATAATAGATATTGGAAAATTATTTCTCAAATTTACAGACATTACATTCATACACACTTCATTTATTTTTATATTTCATCTTTTGATGTCTTTCTTGTAAAGCCTTTAGATATTAAAAGATTATTGCATTCTTCCCGTGTCAAGCTTGACAAAGGTAATCTTTCCACTTCCTGAAAGGTAGAAAATGTTCAATTATCTTACATAATAGTTATATTAGACTCATTGTACCTCTTCATTCTCATTAAAGAGAAGAAGTTCTGGAACTGCACCTGGAATATGTTTAAATTCAACATTATTACTAGAAAAACATATAAGGATTTATATAATTAATTCTTATTCTTTAAAAGAAATTTTAATTAGATGAAGATTTTTCTAATATAAAATTGTTATCTATTGTTATCACACACATACAAATAAACATTATATCATAATTTATATAAATAAAGTTACACGTAATAAGAAAATAATAGTTTAAAGAAATCAAACATTCCAGATTTAAAAATATTATAAATTAATAAATATAAACGAAATATTAGTGAAGAAATAAAATCAAGAAGCTGATTAAAAATAAAAATTAAAAAACTAAAATGTTTATTACAACTATGTAATTTATGAATGTATATATGATAGTTTAATAATTTTTAATTAAGGATACTAGTTAGGTAAATCTTCAAAGATAAATTGTTTAACATCTGGAAGCCGGCTTAAACGACAACCACTGCAACTCTGAAAAAAATTTTTAGCATTTTAAACTATTTTGATTTGACTTAAACTAATGACATGTTAATATAATAAAATCTGTGTCAATAAAAATAAATATACTTATTACCTCAACTCTTGCAGATGCATAATAATATTGCTTGCACTCAGAAGTTGCAAAGGCGGCAGCAAAGAATAAAATGACAGCTATTGTAAGAGCCATGTTTACTTCACTAAAACGGAAGTCATACTGAGCATACTAGCATTTGCTTTTTTGATAGAAAAGACTAATCAAAAGATTTTAAAAAATTTTTAATATCGTTCAATTTCCAAATGAGATCATAAAATTATACATAACAATTATTTATACATAACAATTTTGTTTATCAAAATTTATTTTTTGTTAAAATTATTTTATTTGTATCTGATATTTATGTGCTATATATATATTATTGTTTGAATATCTTATTATATAGAAATTTGTATTATAATTCATATATACATTGTTATAATTGTGTAAAATAAACTGCATAAAAATATTACATTTAAATTTATACTAAAACTAATAGCAAATTGTAATTTATACGTCATGCGTAGTAAACGCGTCTTGCATGTATGAAAATGGCGCTTTCTTGTGCGAGTAAGTTCTTTTTTCTTTATATATAAATATTTTTAATTGATAATAAAAAAATTTATATTAATTTTATATTTTTAACATTACATAATAATAATAAAAATCAATTGGTCATTTCTGTTATAATATTTGTAATTTGTATGGATAAGAATTGAACATAACCTAAAATATTTTCACCACTGTTTTCTTAGTTAAATAAATAAAAAAATATAAATCATTTTCAGTTTCTAACGAAGTTCCGGAGCATCCGGTCGTATCTCCAGTATCTGGCTCCATATTTGAAAAACGTTTAATTGAAAAATACCTAGCTGAAAATGGAGTAGATCCTATAACTGGGAAGGAATTAACTGTCGATCAACTTATTGATATCAAAAGTATATTACTTCTTTTCTCTATATATTTTCATCTTGTACATTAAAAAACCATATAAAATTGATCAATGATATTCTTGTTATTTTGCAGCTACTGCAATAGTTAAACCTAAACCACCAAGTGCAACATCAATTCCAGCTATATTAAAAATTTTACAAGATGAATGGGATGCTGTTATGTTACATTCATTCACACTTAGACAACAACTTCAAACAGCTAGACAAGAACTGTCTCATTCCTTATATCAACATGATGCAGCATGCCGTGTTATTGCTAGATTGACAAAAGAAGTAACAGCAGCTAGAGAAGCTTTAGCTACTTTGAAACCTCAAGCTGGAATTGTTCAAGCTACAACTATTCCGCAACCTGTATGGATAATGTTACATTAATTTTATCTACATTTTATATCAGGAACGTTTATTGATAAAGTGTATTTTATTGCAGGCACTTGCAGTAGAAGCTGGTGGTACAGCTGCTCAACCTATGGAACAAGCTGGTATTACTGAAGATGTAATACAGAAGCTTCAAGAAAGAGCAACAGTTCTCACTCAAGAAAGGAAACGTCGTGGACGATCGGTTCCTGAAGATTTATTGCCACAAGATAGCATTCGCGCATTTCAAACACTTGCTTCACATCCTGTAATATTGCGTTCTTTGATTCATATAACAAATTTTTTTATACATTATTGTTATTATTATTTATTTTTAAGGGTCTTCATTCAGCTAGTGTTCCTGGTATACTTGCGCTTGATATACACAGTGCAGATACCAGTAAAATCTTAACTGGTGGTGCTGACAAAAATGCTACAGTATTTAATAAAGACACAGAGCAAGTTGTTGCAATATTGAAAGGGCACACGAAAAAGGTATAAAATCTTTCTGTTTTCAACTATTCTGTTTTCAATATTTTTGGATGTTTAATCATTATATATTACTTAGGTTACTAGAGTAATTTATCATCCAGAAGAAGATATTGTAATGACTGCATCACCTGATACTACAATACGCGTATGGAATGTAGGAACCAGTCAAACAACTTTGTTATTGAAAGGTCATGATGCTCCTGTAACTGGATTGTCCTTACATCCAACAGGCGATTATTTATTGAGTTCATCTTTGGATCAACATTGGGCATTCTCGGATATACGTACTGGTAGATTACTGACCAAGGTATTCTTACAAACAAATAAATAAATTTTAGTCATATATGAATATGTATTATATAATATATTATATATATAGGTTGCTGGACAAGTCAGTCAACCTTTGACCACGGCTCAATTTCACCCTGATGGATTGATCTTTGGCACAGGCACACAAGATTCTCAAGTGAAAATTTGGGATTTGAAAGAACAATCAAACGTAGCTAATTTCCCAGGTCATTCAGGCCCAATTACGGCAATTAGTTTTTCTGAAAATGGTTATTATTTAGCTACAGCTGCAGAGGATTCATGCGTGAAACTTTGGGATTTGCGTAAATTGAAGAACTTTAAAACTCTCCAATTGGAAGAAGCATACGAAGTTAAAGATATTTGTTTTGATCAAAGTGGAACATATTTAGCAGTAGCTGGAACAGACGTAAGGTAATTAATATGTCACATACGTAATATGTTTCAAGTCAATCATTACGTCACACATCATTTTTTATTTATCGTTATCTTCGTTCTTGTTTTCAGAGTGTATTTGTGTAAACAGTGGCAAGAACTAAAAGTGCTTAATGATCATACTGCAGCCGCAACTGGTGTTCGTTTCGGAAAACATGCGCAGTATATAGCGTCGACCAGTATGGATAGAACTTTAAAACTTTATGGTCTACCTTGAACATTTAGTGACTAAAATACATTAATTTAAGAACGGTTTAAATTAGTTTATAATATATGTTAGCGATCACTACTGATGTTTGAAGACACGTGATGACTGTAATATTTTGAAGACATTTGACAATTTGAAGGAAGCTTTCCATTAATTAATGAAAGCTAAGAAATTAATTCTTCTTGACTTCGAGTATTACATAACTACTGAATGAGATTGCTGTCTACGTTTGAAGAACCATCTAATTTGATAGAATTAGGATTGTAAATAATTGTTATAAATTTGCTAATTCAAATTTTGAATATGAAGATGATTTTTGGGGTCATTGATACTTTTTATTCTTTAACTTGATATTTTTACGAGTCTTAAATGTTAATAATTAACGCCAATCGAGACTTCGAAATCTCTAATTTATAACATGGCTGTGTCAGCAGTGAAAATTTTAAGCTTTATAAAGCTGAAAGATATGAAAATATATAAAGTAGTTTTCCTTCCAAATATCAGAATCACGACATAATTTATAGTTGATGGTGATCGTTAACAACATGGTATTATAAAATCAATATTATTTTTATGGAGAAAATGTAAAACACAAATTCTTTTGTCTGTCGTGTATTAACTACTCAGGATCGTTTAAAATGATGAATGAAATATAATCTATTAGAGTATACGAAATAAAATGCTTTCTTTTGTACAATGTCACTGTGTAATGAAGTTCATTTACTTCAAGAAGTTAAATGAATTGTGGAACGAAGCAATTAACGCGGATACAGTTCGATAATTTATTTGGACGATCTTATGGCGCCACCAGTCACGTGCTTTTTAACCTAACCTAATATCCTTTGTCCTCAATATTCAGCCTCGAATCAAATTAATAACAATGGCCGTCACAGTTGTCTGTCATTCTGAAGTATACCCGGATTATGTGATGGTGAGAAACGTGCAGCGAGTGGCAATCTCTGCCGATCGGTCAGAGTGATTACAACGCGAATGAAATCGACGTGACGTGTGCTGCTGTAAAGGATGATTTTCTAGTGTGTGGTTACAATTGCGGTGTCAACTAGAGTGACCACACGGATGACCAGCTGACAATGTTTTGTCATTAGCATAATTTAGTGCTTAGCGGGCGGTCGCGGTAAATCAAGAATGTTTAAAGCTGAGGAGCCGTCCAAAGACAGCTTCCTTCAGCAAATGAAGGCCGCTAGGGAAGAACGAGCCCATGAGAAAGACAGAGAGGCTGCTGTCATTTTAATTCAGGCTTACGTTAGGGGATGGTTAACCCGTAAAAGAATATTGTGAGTTTTCTAATCATTTCTATATATCTGCACATCTGTTTACGATAATTATACATTCTTCCAAATCACCTTTCGCTGCTGGTGTTTAAGTTGTTTTTTTTACCGTAAATGAAGTAGTCGTAGTCTTTCAATTGGTTATCAATATTTATTTACACTCGGTAATTTTCCATTGGTTGCTCGTTAATCAGATCGGACATATGTATATTTTCTTACTCAAAAAAAGGATATCCAGGTTTATATACTTTGTTAATTTTTTATTATGTTATTTGTGTATTATAAGGAGAAAGTAGAGTAAAAAATATGATTTTCAGAGAAGAATTTGATACTAATTTTCTGAATGATGGTGGCACAGAAACAAATATAAAGTTGAAGCCTGCTTTGGATGTGTATAAAATTATTTTCAAATTTTTGTATATACATAAAAAAGAAAAGGTTCAAGAAAGAATAGAAAAATTATGTAGGTATGTATGAAGATAAAAGATACTTGTATAAAATGCAGATGCAGTATATGAATAATAAATAAGAAGAAGAAAGATAAAAAGTTATAAAAAAAAGTATGAGAAAATTGACAAGAGTAAATATTTCAGATATTTAGTATTGACTTTAGATTCTGAGTCTCCAGAAATTTCTTATGTAGGACTTGTATTAAATAAAGATCGTTACATATCATGGATATCACAGATGAAAACAATATTACTTTATTGTCTGACTGGTTTGGATAATCTCAAGCCAGAGAGAGTGTCTGATCATAAGTCCATCCATTTAAGATTACATACGTTAGTTAGCTTTACATCGCCAGGAACATGGGCAATTCAGAAAGTAGAAGGAATGGAAAAACTCAAAGCTGGTATGAATCAGCTTTGTGCAAACATAATGGGCCACCTAGTCAACAATGGGTTTTATCCCATCATGCAAGTGATTATCCTATTAACCTATCTTAAGTAGTTGTGTTATTCAAAGCGTTTACTTTCATGAAATGGTTTATTTTTTCATGATATTTGATCTTATTTTAGGCATTTCTAGTAAAGGGATTGGGTAGAGTGGATATTGTTTTAAAACCAATTGCACTTTCAGCTGCAGTTACATTGGCACTAAGACCATTGATCTCCTCCCAGATGTCAGATAAATTGGTTTCATTGTTTTTGATTAATATTTTTAGCGTGCCTGCATTGGTCTATCACTTGAATAATATATCATCAGTAGTATGTAAACAATAAATATATTACTTTAAATATTATTTTACTGCATATCATATTTTTTATAATATATATTTTTAGTGTATTTCCTCCTTTATTACAAACAATTTATTTGCAAGGAGTCTGGAATTGTTGAATTCAGAGCAAAATTTACGAATAGTTTTCAATGCTCTGGAAGGTAGCTATGCACTGTGTTTGTTAGCTAATTTAATACAGTTAGCTAATATTGAAAGAGATGAGATGTTAAAAGAGTTGTACTTTCCATCCTTTACGGTACAGATTTATTGCATAATATGTAATCTTTATGTATGTAGTAAACCACACTTCATTTTTAAATAAACTTTATAGTTTGTTGTAACAAAAATGTTGGAGGCATGTCAGCAATATGTAGTTGCAAAACAAAGCAATTTGACTCATTGGCATCCTATTCTTGGTTGGCTTGCACAAAAAGTTGATACATCTTTGCAAGAACCTATTCCAAATGTGAAATCACAATTAGCCTGTTTATGGACTGGAAGAATAGTTTCACAATTAATTGGTAATGAGAGGATTTTGTCCCATAAGTATGTTTTTGTTAGAGTTATTGCTGAAAAATATAATAAAACTTTTTTAGGTCTACCTTTAACAGAACTTATTGAAAAGGAGATACCTTCATCGGTAGAACAACAAAGTACATCTATTGGTACCAACATTTTCAGAAGAGCATTTTTAGAAGCACGTACAAATAGGAATAATAACACCAAAAATTATAGAAAATTGGGAAGTGCAGAAACTACTAGAATAGCTTTAATTTGTTCTCTTTATCAAATTGCTTTACATACACTTACACAAATGAAAATGGAAATATTGACTGGTAAGTACTGGTAAATGTATATATCTACTGGTAAATATATGTATCAATGATATATTGATTATATTTATATCTGTCATGTAATAGGTCTATGTTATCAAGATAAAATTTTATACCATATGTATTTATTCTTGGGAACACTGGGTCCACATTGTGGTTTAAAAGCATTTTTGGACCATTTGGCTGCTAATACAAAATGTACAGCACCTGAATTTCAAATGTTAATATTATTTTCTGATTGTATGACACATTATGTTACGTAAGTGTATGCTATAACATGCGAAAATAATAATGTAGAATCGTTTTAGCAGCGTTGACTTATCTGTGTATTTGATTAGAATTTTAGATGATATGGAAATGTATGAACAACAAGAGCCTTTCAAACTTAGCGACTTTGTAACGATATCATACTTTTTAAATCAATTTTTATATAAAGCAGTGCTTAACAACTTGTTTGGTGCGTATTACAACTTTTGCATTATATTTTTTTGTAACGTACATCGTTTTTTTCCTAATGATATATAACTATAAGAGATAAGCGGTTTAGCTATGTACTGAAGTTTTAGATGTTCCAGACGTGAAATCAGTTCCTAATAATCCTCTCTTCACCTCTCTTCATACACTTTTAATGGCAATTTACCGGAGGGATTGTCGACGGACTTTTTGCCCGGAAGGTCATTGGTTGGCAAAGTTAAGTATTTTAAATTAAATTATTTTCACGTTATATTGCATGATTTTAAAACGAATACATTTTCAAAATAGGAAGTTCGAGTGTCTGGTTTTCTGGCAGACTTGGAGAAAGGGAGGCGAGGTGCTGCTCTTCTCCTTTCTAAAATGCCGCATGTTATTCCTCATTCGGAGCGTGTTGTGTTGTTTCGCAAGCACGTTGCTAACGAAAAGGCAGTTTTGGGTTTAACTGAAAGTGCTTGCAACAGTACGCCGACAACGCTTATTGTTGTTTACAGGTAGTGGAAGATGTTTTTTCGTGTTAAGTTATGTTATATCAAAAATAATTTAAAAATTTTGTAGAACTCGCATAGTGGAAGATGGATATCGTCAGTTGGCGATGTTACCCTCTCAGGCACTTAAAGGTGTAATTAGAGTTCGTTTTGTAAACGAGCAAGGTCTAGCCGAAGCTGGTATTGATCAAGATGGAGTCTTTAAAGAGTTTTTAGAGGAGACAATAAAAAGAGTTTTCGACCCATCTCTAAATTTATTCAAAGTCACTAGCGAAAATCGACTTTATCCATCCCCAACGTCATCCATGCAAGATAATCATTTGCAACTCTTTGAATTTGTTGGTCGTATGCTGGGTAAAGCGGTGTACGAAGTAAGTGAGAAGAAAGAAAAATAAAATTGTAAGATTTGTAATATCAATATAATGTCAATCATGTAAATCTTCTCTAAGATATTGATATATCTTATCTTATACTAATTTTTTCTATAAATTAGTATCTTTTATAGGGCATTGTAGTAGACGTACCTTTCGCATCGTTTTTTGTTTCCCAATTCTCTGGGCAAACTGGAGGTGCATTGTACAGTTGGTTGGACGAGTTGGCTTCTTTAGATCGAGACTTATATCGAAGTCTTACTCTTGTGAAGCATTATAAAGGTGATGTTAGACAGTTAGAATTAACTTTCTCTCTTGATGAAGACGTTTTAGGCAAATTAGTTACGCACGAATTAGTTCCCGGAGGACGAGCGGTGCCAGTCACCAATGAAAATAAAATCAATTATATACACCTAATGGCCCATTTCAGAATGCACATGCAAATAAAAGATCAAACAGCAGCTTTTATCAAAGGATTCCGTTCCATAATCAATCCTGAATGGTTGGCATTGTTTTCAACTCCAGAAGTAAGATAAATACACACATACACATATACACACAAAAATGACTATTTTCTAAAGAGAAATGTTTCTTTACAATATCTTTGTTTTTAGTTACAGAGATTAATTTCGGGTGATAATGTTCCATTAGATTTGCGAGATTTACGAAAACATACGCAATATTATGGTGGCTTCCACGATAGTCATCGTGTGGTATGCTGGTTATGGGATATCTTAGAAAAAGATTTTTCTGAAGAAGAAAGAGGCTTATTTTTGAAGGTATACTGTGCCGTATAACAATTGTAAGTAATGTTTGTTTTGTTTGTTTTAATATTTCTGTCCGTCTCATAGTTTGTCACAAGCTGCTCAAAATCACCATTGTTGGGTTTCGCACATTTAGAACCACCATTTTCGATTCGTTGCGTTGAAGTTGGCGACGACGAGGATACGGGTGATACAATCGGTATGAAACTAATAGATATCATATATTTTTTATATACTTTCTATTTATTCTTTCTTTGTAAATTAGGTAGCGTAATAAGGGGATTTTTTACGATTCGTAAGAAAGATCCGCAGAATCGTTTACCTACATCGTCTACTTGTTTTAATCTTCTTAAATTACCAAATTATCAAAAGAAAAGTACCTTACGGGAAAAGTTACGTTACGCTGTCACTAGTAATACGGGCTTCGAACTTTCATAATTTTCAACTGCTCTGAGGAAATTTCATTGCATACCGCGTCGCTCAAATTACCTAACGAAAATTTCAACATAGTGATTGAGTGGTGCCTGACCGTCGCGATCCAAATTATCTGGCGAGATGTTTCTAATAATTATATCATAGACTTTAAATCAAACGAAATTATAATTCGTATATGTATTAACTGTAGAAGAAAAATTAAAAAAGTGAAGCTATTGAAATGAAATCGAAGACTCGCACAAATTTTATGAGATATATATATATATATATATATATATATATATATA